AACTCAGCTAGTTAAATTCACTAGAAAATTACATAGTGCAGGAGGAAAACTTTAGCAGGTTTGTCCAGAAGTTTTTACAAATGAACTAAACAACTTCAGCATCTTCTGCTGAAGTTTCGAAAAAAGCTCATGACAAAAGTATTGAATCTAGGAGAACTTCAGTTTTTTATACTACAAGACAAAGACTTCAGCGTTTTGGTGTGAAGGTTTAGTAAATTATGTAAAAACTCAGTTTGTTTAGTATCATGTTCTAGCAAACAAACCAAAAACTTCAGCATATTTGTCCTCATGACAAAACTGTTGAATGCCTATGTGTCCTGCATTTAACAGTATCCAGAAACAAATTTATTCTATAACTTCATGCAAGTGTGATTAAAATATATGGGTTGATTGAATTAAAACTTATAAAGCATGATGAATTCATGAAGATCAATCAGTTTCAAAAACTAATTTGAATTCTGAAGATGATTTGCAATACTTACAATGTATTTTGTAATTTTGAATTTGGAATTTGAATCTGGTTCAACTTTCTGGTTTCGTGATTATGGCAGATGCGAGAGAAGATCTGAGGAGGGACGGAGTGATGGAGGAGAACCGTAAAGTGATTTATGCGTGATGCATCTTTTATATGTTTTGGTCAGGGGTATAATGGTCATATTATTACGGATGTTTTGTCAACCGGGTACCAAATCAATAATTTTTAAAAATAGGGTACGGATTAAAAGTTGGCACAAATATAGGGTATGGCTGCAAATCCACCGATTAAATTACACTTATAGTGAAAAAATCATATTACGGATGTTAGTGAATGTAAGCTTAGGTCACTACTGAAAGTTTCAAACGGGCTTCTTTTCAATTTGAATCTTTTGGTGGCTGACCAAGATCCAGGTGATCGTCCAAGAAAGAGCTTAATTCATTCTATTTACTTTCGCATTCGGACTTGATGTGGGAAGAATTGGACTAATTGGGCCAACATGGTCTATAAACACGTGGAAATGACACCAGGTAGCCACTTTTAAGTATACTATTTAAATATATTCACATTTTATAATATATTTAAAGATTAGTCAATTCATTCAAACTTTAGGACTCCGTGTCCTAAAGTTCAAAAATTGTGTTCAGAAATTCGAATCTTATGTCCTAAATTTTAAATTAGTAGTTCATAAATTTTAGGATATTTAGTCCTGAATTTTAAATTAGTAGCTCAAAAACTTAGGATACAAAGTCTTTAATTTCAAATTAGCAATTCAGAAATTCAGGGTATTTAGTCTTGAAGTTTGGGTGAGCTGATTAATTTTTAAATATATTATAAATTATGATTATTTTTTAAATAGTAGGCTTAAAAGTGGCTACTGATGCACTTCACTCTTTTGGAGCCTGTAAGTTCAGTTCGGCCCATCAATATAAGTCGAAGCTAAATCTCAATTATTACAGATATACAAGTTCCAAGCAATCAACCAAAGCAAGTCCCAAAAGAAAAGTGAAAAATCGCAGAAATGGCGATTACACTCAACAGCGGCTTCAAGATGCCGATAATCGGACTCGGTGTTTGGCGAATGGAAGGCAAAGATATAAAAGATCTTATCTTTAACGCCATCAAAATTGGTTACCGTCACTTTGATTGTGCNCCCATTTAGATTACTAGCTGAATGTGATTTCCAGATTTTTACACATGGTTAGTTCTGGATATGTTCTTTCATAGTGTTATTTATCCATTGAAACAATTCTACTGTCCCTCCCTGAATGTTTTTGATATAGAAGCTTTTGCTTTCTATTAGCAGGATACGCACCCTTTGAGCAGCTGGTTAGGACGTTGAATTATATATATAGTTAAAAAGTTGTTGGTAAAAGATATGTGTTTGGAGTTGCAAATTCAGAATTTTTAAGAGAGCTTCGCGTTGCTTAAGTTGCGCTTCAGTGTAAGGCAAGGCACTAAGGCTTGCGTCTCATTGTCCACGAGTTCTACAAGTGAGGCTTGCTCAGTTGGTAAAAGCACCTCCACCCATGACCGTTATGTCCTGGTTTCGAGTCACACTTTCTTGGTAGGGGTTTTTTAATAATAAAAAAAAATTAAAAAAATCAAGCAGCACTAAAAACCAAATATAATTGAAAATAAGCGTATCAGCTTCTAAGGGAAGCTCTGTGAATGAATTTGTTACTTTATTCTTGAATTACATATATATTTTTATTTATTTTCCTTTATTGCGCCTTTTTTTTTTTTTTTTTTTTTACTGAAGCCCACACTTTAAGTGCACTTTGCGCTTAAAGCCCCTATATACCTAGAGCGATTTTTAGAGCTTTTCGCCTTTTGCAACACTGGTGATTTGACATTTGGTATTTGCTTGCAGCTGACTATCAAAACGAAGCTGAAGTTGGGGAAGCACTTGCAGAAGCATTTCAAACGGGGCTCGTGAAGAGGGAGGATCTTTTCATTACAACCAAGGTTAGTGTTAGAATGTTAATTTCATTTGTTTACATAGTTTTTAGATTTTGCTGTGAATTGCATATTTACCTCTCCTTTCTGCAGCTTTGGAACTCAGACCATGGTCATGTTCTTGAGGCATGTAAAGACAGCCTTAAGAAGTTACGCCTGGATTACTTAGATCTCTACCTTGTTCACTTCCCCGTAGCCACAAGACATACAGGTGACACTGATAGCCTTTTTTCCTTCAACTTTCTTCAGACTTTAATGTATTTATTCCATGTTTCTGTTTGTTTCGGGTTTTTGATTAAGAGTGAGAGAGGCCAAAACTCATAGCTGATAGGACATTTTACCAATTGCATCTTTATTGTTCATATCCTGACTATTGTTTCAAGTGCACATTTATACTGAAGACTGTTGAACATAACAATGGTATCACAAAAACACCAGTTTCGGACAACTAGCCTGCTGATATCAACTGACACATAATGATCTTTTTACTGAATACCTATGCATAAACTTTTCCGATGTCCAAATATTGATGCCACTGAAAACCTGAATTAACTAGTCAGCAAGATCATACTTTCTTTGATATTTAGTACAATCACATCGCATGAAATAGTTAGTGATCAATGTGCTGTAAATAGTTGCTCGAGTTTGCTTGAAAGCAAGAACCTTGTGTACTTTTGAAATGGCCAAGTTCTGTTGCTTTACATGGATGTAGGAATTGGTACAACAGCTAGTGCATTGGGTGAGGATGGTGTTCTGGATATCGATACTACCATATCATTGGAGACTACTTGGCATGCAATGGAAAATTTAGTCTCCCTCGGCTTGGTTCGCAGCATAGGGATCAGGTATACTACAGCTTAAAAATCTATGCTCCCCTTTATTCAAGCTTTTATTAGGTAGCACGTTCAATTTCGACATCCTTCGTGATGCGATCATGCTACAGATAATTAGTAGCTGATGTCAGGCATTAAAGAGAGGCTCGACTATTTAACTGGAAGTTTATTCCTCGTATTTTGCATAGTTCCTATTAGTTCTCTAACTTCTTTTATAAATGCATTATGATATAACATGTTCTGTAAATAATATGTATATAGGCATTGTTCTGATGGTTCCATGTGCAATGTGTATTCAGACTGCAAAACACATACTTAATTGGTCTGTACTCCGTAGTGCTTGAAATGAGCATCATTTCTTTGAATTTTGAATTCAGTATGCACTAGTTGTGAAATCAGCTCTTCAACCTACTACTTTACAGGCGTACTTTCAAATATGGTGCATCCTTGCATAGAAGAGTATGCTACTTGATAAATCAAGTTTAACTGATTTTTTTAACGACTAAGCTTTATTCTTAATCTTATAACGGAAATTGATGTGCAGCAACTATGACATTTTCCTTACCCGGGATTGCTTAGCATATTCCAAAGTGAAGCCTGCTGTGAATCAAATTGAGACTCATCCTTATTTCCGGCGTGAATCTCTTGTCAAATTCTGCCAAAAGCATGGCATCTGTGTTACAGCCCACACACCTCTTGGTGGTGCTGCCGCTAATACTGAATGGTTTGGTACAGTATCATGCCTAGAGGATCCAGCTCTAAAAGTAAATCCTTGTGCTCTTATATTTTCTATATTTATATTTTGTGAACTGTTCCTGTGGAAGTTTTGCAAAAATTTGATTCATATTGCTGGTTTGTTGTAACATAAGTTATCTTTGCTATTTATTGCATCAGGGTCTAGCTGAGAAATATAAGAAGACTGTGGCCCAGGTTGTTCTGCGCTGGGGCATCCAACGAAACACAGTTGTGATTCCTAAAACATCAAAACTGGAGAGACTGCAGGAGAATTTCAACGTTCTTGACTTCGAGCTCACCAAGGAAGACATGGACCTCGTCAAAAGTTTGGACCGCAAGTATAGGACCAATCAACCTGCAAAGTTCTGGGGCATAGACCTGTATGCTTAAACAGTTTCGTGCTTGATGTCTCGTTAGTGACCAGGAAAAGGGACTGAGCTTCTTAGACCAGCATCCAATTTGAACTTGGCGAAGTGAGATGATGTTAGGTATTAGTTGGATTGTATCTTACAACAACAAACCAGTGTATCTCAAAAGTGGGGGTCTAGGGAGGGTAGTGTATCTTATGTTTCTTTATTTCAAACTTGTATCAAGGATGATGGATAGTCCTGGTGGTTGAGTTTCTGGGAGAGCAGATGCCCTCTTTCTCGGGGAAACGCGTTTCCCATCTAAAGGCGATTAAAACTATCTGTTGAGTTAAACAGACTCAAAATTCAACTGGTTACATAATAGCATAAATGTTGTCTAATGAAATTTACGTGGAGTTTATCATCTGAATTAGATACGTTAGTAACTGAAGTTGGAAAACTAGGAATTTTGAGATCAAGCGATCATAATTGACTGTCTATGTTGCTCAGATACAGGTATCCAACATAGGTGTCAATCTGGAGATTGGAGGGGTTTGGTTGTTGAAAGCTAAGTTATATTTAATATTGACTGAGATATGACTTGCATTTTCTAAGAATCCAACACAAGTACGATGTTTTTGAGGATCCGAGTAACGTCGAGGACAATCTGATCTTATTCATGTAACTTCTGCTGCAACATCCACAATCTTCAATCATTTATGTTGCATGATAGGGAAGCTATAGGAAAAAACAAAAGGGAAAAAACCAATTGCTCCCATTGAGTCACTAAAAAAGTAGGCTAAGATTTTGATCCATAGATCTGTATCCATGGGTAGAACAGAGTAGATCTACCAGCTAACCCAAGAAACAAATCATCACATCTAGCTTACAAAACCTATATACAGTCACAGTTCCGCTCAAAGAAATATATAGCAGTTCTTGGACATTAAGCATTAATAAACAAATGGGAAAATAGCAAAACGATTCCTTGGATAGTTGTCAAACTTATGCAGATACCATCTATGTGTTTCTGCTGCTGCTAAGACAAGATTTGCCACCTGCAATTGCAACATGATGCATCACGTTGCAGAAAACAAGTAAACATCGCATGAAGAAGTGAACATGGGCAAGGAAGAAAATAGGTTTGGAAAGTGGAGGGTGCTTCTCAAGACTATGAACAGAGTCGTACCACAAATACCCAGAGTAGGCATATCGTAAGGTCTGAACATCCACTAGCAACCACGAAGCCAGCATATATAACCTTCAGTACGAGTAAAAAGCAAAAAGAAACGTGTAATTTAGATCTTGACAAAGGTAGGTAACGTAAAATATACAAAACATTAGTAAGAGAAAGAGAAGTTACAATCTCAGCCAAATAGTGAGGAGATGAAACATATTGAAACCAATCACCATGAGGGACTACATAATCATCACTGTGTTCTCTGTTCTCCCTCAATGACCCCTGATTGGCAAAGTAAAGGTGTTATACCACAAAAATGAAGCTACACCTACAGAATTCTACGGTCAACATTAATGGAATAACTAACAAAAGCATACAACAAAAACTACACCTCAATAACCGACACAAACATAACGTAAAAGAATCAGCTGTCAAGTTAAAAGAGAAATACCTTTATTTTAACAGGGCAAATCATATGATAAAATTTTAAGAACCAACAAAATATGAGTAAAAAACAACAGAATGAAGCAACAGATAAAGAAGTTAGCCAAACATCATTAGCACCTGTACTTAGGTTGTAATGAAGTACTTTGCACCTCCGTAAGTTTAAGTAAGATCAGTTTCAACCTCTCACTTCAATTTGCTTCAGTTTATTAATGGAACTGCATTTACAGTCCAGTGTATCAGATTTATTTACATACATTAACAAAAGTGTATAAGCTTGGTTATTCACCTTCACAGGCTACTGATTCAACCATTGGACTATAATCTTATGCTACCAATCAACCTCAACATCTGTTTATCCTTGTATTTACAATATCTTAATGAGAATCAACTACAAGGTCAAACCACACCCCAGTAATAATATCTGGAGCAGCGACTGTTGTCAGAATTCGGAACCCCTTATCTGCTAATCTACCATATGAAGAAAAAAAAAATCTAACTGTAATAGTCTATCTTAGTGGCGGTGAGATCCATTTCCCATGCGCACATATTCACATTTAAAACCTACGAAATAGCTAAATGTCAATCCATATTCCGACCTTGCTACAATCTTTACAAGCATGACACTATTGGCGTGCCTAGTTTTGTCTATTACGTAGAACTTATGATGAATAGATAGAGATTTTCGTTTATCATTTTTTTTTTTTTGATAGGTGTGTAGCCCCAAAAAAAATCACATGGAAGCAAATAAAAGCCAGTTGACTATAACATAAAAAATAGAAGTGCTTTTGCTTCAACTCAATCGGGACATAGCTACCCCAAATATGCCACACTTATTACTACATGTTTTAAGTTCAATTCTTGGAACAAAATAGTATTTTTCAGCTGTTATAGCTCTATCTTCGTATAATTCACATAGCAGGAATAAAGTGTAATTGTGACGTGGAATAGATTGTACTCGAAATTGATGAGGGTGAGCGAGCTCAAGTCAACATGAACGGAGGGCTCAGAGACTGAAAGCAATTTTGTCACCAGAAATGTGATCAGTGCTTTTAGCGATTTTCTTTAGACTAGAACTTAAAACCTTTGTTAGGTTTTTCATGAAAAAGCTCAAAGGTGTTTCTCAAGATAATAAGGCAACTAATAATTTCCCATATAGGAGAGATTAAGCACAAGGATAAGCACGTAACAAATTAACCAAGTGGCTAAAAGACAGTCCTAACTTCAAACACAAATCTGAATCTTTAATCAATAGTACATGGCACTTACAAGAATTGCATGACACCGACATTGATGAATCCAACCCCAACAGAAAATAGCTGCACCAATCCATGTGTACCATCGTAGTTGCACGAGAGGATTCAAAAACCTCCACCAATCAACCTCAGTTGCTAGCATCCTATCTTTTCCTTTAACAATAAACTCTTGAATCAAACTCAACCCGAACTTGTACACCTCTGTAGCATAATTGCAGCAAAGAGAGAGGGGAGCTGCGGTATAGAAGCTTGAATAAAAAATAAAAATAAAAAGTAAAATTCAGAAAGCGTTTTTGTCCATTGGATATCTTGGACTGTATGTGTTATCGAAACTACAAAAAGTCAGGTACTAAAAGAGAATTTACTAATGTTGACAGGAAATAGGGACTAAGATTTCTACACCGTGTGAATCATTTCAGATAATTTACTATACAAAATTACAAATATGATGCCTTTTAGCAAAAATAAAGCCCAGTTGGAAACTCTAAATAGAGATGACGAATTTAAGATCCGAAAAGGGGTGAATACCTAATTCACTAGCACTAGTGAGTGATGGCACCATGATCTTGCTATGTCACGTCAATTATGAGACTTAACATTAATGTAAACAGGAAGGGGCACCTTGACAAAAGAATCAGCCTATTTCTCCCCTGAATAACTCATGATCCGATCGTTGTTTCAGTTTCAGCAAGTGCAAAAAGGTAGTATCTAAATGATAAGACCATTTTACTATTTCTAAATGTGTATCAGGCCAATGAAGTTCTGATCGACATAATAATAGAAAGGGTGGCGAATATTGAAGTTCCTATTAAAGAAAAGAGAATAACACACCAAAAAGAGAACAACAAACACACAGAACAACAGGAGTCGGCTCTAACCTTAGACAGTCTACTAGCTGATATCCACCTTGATTATGGTAAACTATGTTTACTTACCCAGCTAATAAAACACAACAAGAAATATGGAAACATGTTACTAGAAAAAGAAACAAAGTAAGATGCCAACTTACAATAAACCTGTGAGATAGCCGAAAATGTGCATCCTGGCATAAGGACTATATTTAAACACGTATATTGACTCAAAGAGGCGTCGAAGTACTTGAGCTTCCATTAATAAAAGCAGAAAGACTGATAAACCAATCTTGCTTCTATGTTCCTTTGATGTGTGGGATCCTTGTAAAGAGAAGATACGTGATCCTCCAGTCAAGTGGCTAGCAATACTAGAAAAAAGCAATGGTTCTGAGATCTTTGGCATTGTACTGTAAGCATAAAGCCACGTTGCAGCTAACAGAAGTGTTGTCCAAACAAAAGCTAAAACATAGAAGTGAATGAAGAGTTTCTGTGGAACAGAGAGTTTCTGCAATTGAACAAACAGGCCAAAGGGAGTGACAGGTCAATAAAGTTGTTGCATATACTCCCTCCATCCCTTTTTAACTGTCTCTTTAGCTCTTTTCACGCCCATTAAGAAAGCAATAAATACAAGGTATAGTTTACTAAGTTACCCAATTAAATGCTTTTTGAGAATTGAGTAGTATTAAAAAGGAGTACTACTTCTTTAATATTAAGGGTATAGTTGGAAACAATTAACAAATTTAATCTTGAATTCCTAAAATGACAATTATTTGGGACAATTTTTTTGAGCTAAAGCAACAGTTAAAATGGGACGGAGGGAGTACTTTTTTTAACAGTTGCAGAAAATTTCTGTAAAAGCTGTAGTTAGTGAAGAAACAAGAAGATATTAAGAACAAATATAAAAAATACTAGTCAGCATCCGTAACGCAAATATGCATTGCAACTACAGAAGTTATTTTATCCATGGCATATACAAGTCTTACAAATACGACATACAACATAATTTAGCTTGAAACAAGAGACGGCTCACCAAATACTTGATATTGAATTTTATTTCAAACAACAAAATTGTCTTTTTAAAGCTGAATGATAATCGGGTTTTTTGAATTTCTCTCTTCCGGCCTATGTTGTAAGTTAGTTAGTTAGAAATCGAAACTGGACCTGAGAGAGACTAGACTTCTAGTAAGAGTAGGTGCGCCTTAAGTTGAGGAGAGTTGTTCACAAGCAGTGGTTATGAGCTCTTTCTTGTTCCGGTTCAGAAGAGGTTGCGCACCTTCAGTTGCACTATTGGATTGAATAACTTTATTTTTTAGTGCCAACAAAGTGCATGTGTTCTTGGTTAATAAAATCACAAGCATAGGCTGGAGGACTGATACTATAAGTAGGACAAAGGCCTTCGAGGAAGGACAATATGGCATGATAGAAGACACACTAGGATCAAGAAAGGAACAATTATCAGGATTAACACCCTTCTATCAATGCTTCGCAAAATAGAAACCTACCCAAAAGAAAGTGATGTCACTGAAAACCTTATTTTGAACCTCTAAAGATTCTGCAAGTGCATTTTTAAGTACTCACCAACGTATTGGTCAGGAAACTGCCAAAGAGTTGATCAGTACAATACTACATCAATTCTATCCCTGAATCTTCATGGACCATATACAAACTAGATTAGTTTTAGTTGAATTCCCAAAGTACTAATGTATCTCATCTTATCCGCGTCAACCAGAACTATTAGCTCAGAATTCAATCTGATCTAGCTGATTCAATGGAGATAATTATAGATCCTACAGCAGCGGATAAATTTTTCCAACCTACCAATTTCACCCCAAAGTGATGCATTAACATTCGTAACCTGCTCAGATCCCCTTTTAATTTTCTTAGCTCCAGTACCAGCCTTCATTAGATCAGGCACTATAAATGAAGAGACTTCTCCCCTAGAAATGCTACTTAATATTAAGCAATTAGACTCCAGGTCAGTTGACCTCGGATTATACAACACAGAAAAACTATCAAATTCTGAAGTGTCAATATCTTATCAGCACTACTAATGTTTTCTTAGCTTGATTTATTTGATTTCTCACCCCAAGACTGCACGACGACCCAACAATGCACATTGATCAATTTAGAAATAAATTATTAACCAATTGAACTATGCGTGCTAAAATGTTTTGGTAATGTCGAATGACGTTAGCTCATAGTAAGAACGCGAACACGCAAGAACAATGGCGGATGGAGCATGTAAACAACGGGTCTCGCCATTTTCGACACAGAGTCTAGACATATATGCGGAAAATAACCAAATATTTTAAAAATATTGCATTTTGAGCCTATTATTTCAAATGTGTAATGGTTTAAGTGCTGAAAATTTAAAAGTTGAACCGATCAAATTAAAATCCTGGATCCGTGCACAAGAAACAAGTTTTCGAATGGCATACTTACATTTGAGGAAGACTGCATAATTTTGCCACGCTTAGCAAACCCTAACAAGAACTGTTGAAAAGACCTAAGCGTTGAGGAAGGAATCAAAGCAATAACAATTGGCAAAGTTGCAGCAATCCATGCAGCTCTCAGCGGGGTGACCAGCCCTAACTCCATTTCTACAAAAAATAAAAGAAAAAAGGAACTAACAATTTTAGTTCAAATTCACAAATGGGGTTCTCTGATTTCTGCAGATTTTTAAAAAAGAAATACTTTTACCACAATAGAAGGAGTATAAAGATGCAAACTTTACTGAGCTCACGGGGTAAGTATGGGAAGAGAGAGAGACCGTATAAATAGTTGGATTGTTGATTCAGTGACGTGAGGAATTGGATATGCTATGCGTCTAAGTCTCGAAATTCAAGAAAACTTGAATATGAAGTGAAGGTTCCATTGCTTTTTTGCTTCTCGTCGTCGGTGTTGAATTTCAGTGTGCGCTGCGAACTGTGGTGAATTGAATTCACTGTTCTATATGAAATACGACAGGTTGGTCTCTTGTCTGCCCTTGCGACTAGGTGGGCATAAAATCCGAAAAAATTGAATTTCGAACCGAATGGAATTAATTTGTTATTTTATTTTTGGTTTTTTCGGTATTTCGGTATACTTCGATACAGAAATTTCGATATTTCAGTACGGTATTCGGTATTGAGTTTTTGATATTTCGGTATACCGAAATACCGAAATATTTAAATCCAAGCCCACCTATATTTCTATTTTCCAGCCCAATAAGCCTAAACCCAACCCCCAAGTCCCCTAAATCCTAATTCCCTAATCCCTTAGCGGGGCCTAGCAACCTCCTTAGGCTTAGAGACTTACGGACAGTAGTTTGAGAATTTAAAGAATCACTATTTTTGGAGAATATACACCGTCAATTCCATTTCTCTTCTCTGATTTGGCAATCAAAACACTATCACCTAACTAATTATTCTTGAAACAATGGCTTTGAGTTTTCCTTTGAGTGGTTGAATTCTCAGCAGAAGTTAGGCATATGTTAGGCAATAGGCAATTAGGCATAGCATAATCTCGGGAGATTTGAAAGATTTTGGTATAATATCGAAATCGTACCAAACCAAATAAGAAAATACCGAACCGTACCGAACTACTTTGGTACGGTATTTGGTATGCACAATTGATATACCGAATACCGAAATACCAAACCACAATTATTAAATATCGTACCGAAATATCGAACGCCCACACCTACTTGCCACGGGAGACCCGCGTGGAATTTAATTTTGCTTCTTAAAAATCCCAAATCTAATTTAAAAAGCCACATGAATTTATAAAAAAATACCCCCACCCCTCTTGTAATGAACCCCACTATCTTCACTGTTATGTCAAAAAAAAACCAAAATTCTCTAGATTTTCGCCATTATTTTTTCATTTTAGCCATTATCACACATCAAATGGAATCTTCTCGAATCGACGATGAAGACGGCGAACTTTTAGCTTCTACTTCCAATACCTCTGCATACGGACGAAAACGAGCTCGTGGTGTATCCTAGCCTCCGACATGGTAAGTCAGGCTCGAAACATGACAATAAAGGACTCAAGATCGACTCCAACTCCCACCGGGCTAGAACCCAGAGACAGGACACCTGCCTTCGAGAATATCGAGGTCATGATCCCGGAATCGGTCATAACCTAAAGCGACTTTGAATAAACATTGTCAGCATAGCCAACTAAAGACCAAAATATCTGTAACCGGCCGGATATTACGGCGGAAATCTCGGCACGTACCGATAAAGAACCGTCAATCAGTAAATCAAAAGATTTTTTTACCTTTTATAGAATTGTACCTAAAGTAGGACTCCTCTACTATATAAAGGGGGTCTGGTAATTCATAAATGACATTGTAACACGTATTCCAAGGCAATATATCATTATTTTTTCTGTTATTAGTTCTTCTGCTTTTGTTCGTCAGTGCTTGTTGTTACGAGCCCAAATCGAGGGCAAATATTTCACTAAGGCTTAAATCGTCTTCCTCGTGTGGTTTGAGCTTACTTCATCTTTATTTATTTAATTGGACTTTATTTACTGCTTTGTGTCAAATAAATCCGTGTATCCTTAAAACCACTTACAAATTTAATTGTTATCCGATTTTGAGGGTAAACTACCTCCACTGTTACAGTGACAAATTCACTTTCAAATCCGATTCCGATTCCGACGACGGCGAAAATGTCAATACACTCGGTGGTTCCGACAGGAAATTTAGCTTAGACGAGACGGAGCGAACTCCAAAATTATTCGACCGGTTCTACGGCACTTCATCTTCCAATGACGAAGAGTTCAGCTCCAGTTCAGGTCAAAACAGCGTCGTTCGTAAATGACTTGGTTATATGATTCAATTCCTCGACCGTAAGGAGGGGCGGCCAAAAGGTAAAGCTACTAAAGTCATTGCCTTAGGCCCCCAAAATTAAAGGGCCCAATTATATTACTAGGAGTATACTATATTATTAAGCATAATATATACCTAATTTGATATGATGATTATTAATAAGATATTTCATGTTTTAACAACTTATTTATTTATTTGTGGCTATAAAGATGAGTTATAAAATAAGAATAATTTTTTTCTCTTAGAAGTTAGCGTATTTTGTCTTCCTCTTCGGTTTTAATTTTTCCTCCTCTAAGTTCATTCATTTCTTTTATATTTTTGATTATTTTATTTTCTGACTAATTTTGTGTGTTTCATTATTATATGAATTTTACCAAGTCTCGTAATATAGCTTGGCTTTAGGCCACTAAATCTATTGAGCCGCCTCTGACCGTAAGCTTTCTTCGGAAATAGTTGCTGCTTCTTACAATAATACTAACGGCAAGAGCCAGTCGCAAGGTTTATCTGAGTTTGTAGGTAAAGGTGGCAATACTGGCTATGGGCTGGGTCGGAGTGTGGAGTTCGGGGTGGGCCAGGGGGTGCGGTAGGGAAATAAGAGGGGTGAGGGTATTTTTTTTAAATTAGATTTGGGATTTTTAAAAAGCAAAATTAAATTTCACGTGGCTTCATGGGTCTTCCGTTAGTGGAGGAGGACATATATGAGTCCATTTGTAGACGGCAAAGGCAGACAAGGGACCAACTTTTAACGGAGGGCTAGCATATCCTATTTCATATAATCGAGTGGCATTTTAGGACCTCTTCTGTTTTTAGTTTCCTTGTTCTTCCCTCCTCTTACCTTTCATGGTTACCTAATAATACCTAGTCATCTTTTGTTGATTGCTAGTATTACTTGTACTTAGGCACGCTAAGAACAATATATGCCAAATTAACAGAGAAATAGTATTTATAACAGGGAAATTACATGTAATTACAATTCACACGCATACATTGCAACTAAGTGACCTATATTTAAATTTCAAAGCTGTAGCCCAAAAATAATAGGTTAAGATTCAACATTCAACTCCAAATAGGTTCTTGAAATTACTATTCATTTTTTTTTTTAAATGTTGAAGCTTTTGATCTAATTTTCGAATCAATAATTGTGATTCGGATATTAGTCCATCAAACCAAATATATTTGGATAGTGAAAAATTAGATTTTTAAGATAATCTACCATTGTTGAACACGCTTAAATAAGTGAGTTTAAATTTCGAATATGTTTTTGTTAGAAATTTGAAGTGGATGTTACTTAGACTTGTCATAAATATATAAAGAGATTGTATACAAAATTTAAAATTATTTAATAAAAATTTAGACTGGTCCACCATTGTTGAACAAGCTTAAATAAGTTTATTTAAATTTCGAATGTGTTTTTGTGAGAATTTTGGAGTGAGTGCCCGTTGGACTTGTTGGAAATAATATAAGGAATCAGATTGTATACAAAATTTGAAGTCATTTAATACAAAATTTGAAGTCATTTAATGGAGATTTGGAATGGTTTTGAACAAACATTGCAACTGAAAATCGTGGAAGAAGTTCATCTACATACGTTTGTATAAAGGTGTATAATAGTGTATAAGAAGTATTTAATCACCCATATACACTATTATACAATATTATATATTATTATACAAAAATTGACTTCATCTTCTTCCCTGCGTCTTTTCTGAAATTTAACTCAAATCAACTCCAAAACACTTCAAATTTTAATTTTGAACTCCTCTTGATATTTTCAATTAATTAGAACAACACCCAATCGAGACAACTAACAAACTCAAAAAATCTTATTTTTGAAAGTGAATATTTGAATGGCCTTCACCGGTGTACTTCTATTCTTCAATTTTCTTACATCCACGTGCATACATTGCAACTAGGTGATACAATTATAATTTGCCAAAAGATAATAAGCCAAGGTTTTAAACAAATTACTTTTTTTCACACAATCAACCATTATTTTCACACAAAGGTAGCAGAAAATGCAAAGCAGAAGCTCCAAATAACTAAATCGGATAGCTTCCCATAATTTCTTTTCAAATCATGTACACATTGGGCTAAGCCGGGTAAAGATTTGAAATATGGTCCAATTTGCGTTATTTGGTCAAGTAATTCTAAGTGTAATTGTTCCGCTTGCGTTATTTATTTGTTTTTAGTTCCTCTTCTATTGGCCAAGTACTATATTAGAGCTAGTTTAACTTAGCTAAACGAAAAGTAATTAATAAGCATTAAGTATTGACAAAATTATTTGACAAAGTGTACTACTAATATTTATCCTTAAACATCTTAACTATTAACAATCAATTCATTCATTTTTTGGTAAATTAAAGGTAAACTCATTTGGTGAATTGTCCAAACGTCCTTCACAGAGATGAAGGTTTGTTTTCTCATATCCTCTACCCCATTCTCCTCGTACCATTTCCTTATGTGTAATTAAAAGAAATTGAACAAAAACGAGTGAAGTAATAGCCCTATGTTATAAATAGTATTTTATCTATGGTGAATGTCTATATTTTAGAGAGATTTTATGATTGTTACTTGGTGGCTAAGTCACTTTTTTTCTATAAATAGAGGGGTTCTATTTCATTGTAATTCATCCCAAATCAATAAGAATTCCCTCTCCCTACTTTTCTCTGCAATACTCTTCTTCTTCTTTTATTATTTAATAACACGTTATCAGCACGAGACTCTAACCAATTGAGTAGAGACTAAAATGATGAATCATTGGGTTTTGGATTTTGAAGCTAAGTCGTTGGATCGAGAGACTAATTAACAGTTTAGATGTATTTGACTCATCATGTCGTGGAAATTCATTCCGCATGGAAATTAATTTGGTGTAATGAGTTGCATTCTGTGATGATAGCAACGAATTGACAAATCAAGATTTTTCAAATTCGACGGATGAGATATGTTTGATCAGTTGCTTTTGTGCTAATTGCACTAAGTTTGAAAACAAGATTAAATTCTGGATTTAAGGTAAGTATTTTACTTTATTTTTCTCTTTTAAATTTTTAAAATTTTATAATTTGATTTTTAATACAAGTAAAGACAATAAATTTTGATTATAACTCTATTGGAGTTTATAAAAAATTATAACCACCCGAAGTGA